CTAAATCTAACTCTCAATCTGCCTCTTCATCGACTACCTTTAGATACAAGAGTCTCCACATCCCTTGATGTAGCTCTAAAACAAAATACTTTATCTTCTCCTTTGAATGCAAAGCATCATAAACATCTTCTATAGTAAAAGTGTCTCGACTATACAAGATAGTATCTCGAAACGACGCATAAGATCCAGGCAGCGAACACAACAGGATCAAGGCAATATCCTCTTTATCGTACTTAACCTCCAACATCTACAGATCTACAACTATTTCCTTGAACAAGGCAACATGGTCTTCCAACGACTCTCCTTCCGCCATGTGATAGGAATACAGCTTCTGCTTAAGAGCTAGTTTACTTGTAAAACTCTTAGTTATACACAACTACTCCAACCTCAACTACAAATTAGCTGTCGTTTTCTCCTTCAAGACATCCTGCAGAATGTTGTTGGACAGATGAATCAATGAAACAGCCTTTCGATCTTTTCGTTGTCCAATCAGTTGGCATCTTCTCAAAACCCAGCAACGCATCATCCAAATCTAGTTGCGCCAGAATGCTCTCATCTTTACTTGTCACAAAGAAAACATTATACTATGATTTAATTGCGGAATATCATACTTCAACCCGACCATCCCAAAAGAATCTCAACCAATCCATAGAAAATCAACAGCCTGGCTCTGATATCACATGTTGGGCGCGGAAGCTCTAATAACACACATTGATTCCAAACCAGATTTCAAAAAACGAGATTATATGACAATATTGAAATAAACAAGATCACGCCACGAAACAAGATCTAATTATAAAGAAAACACAAATGATTAATAGTAAAGACGATATTTATTAATTCAACAATATGGAGAATACAGAGCAATCTAACAATTGGTTTCTATCTATTACATCTCATAAAATTGACAGAGGAGTTTTGTATTTATAGGCCAACCCTAGAATAGTCCTAAAAGGCAAGAAAATATATTACAATTAGGAGACCCAATTTTAACAAGATTTTATTTCTTTTTATTGGATGCAGTTAGATTCCCTTTTCAAGTAAAAGTCTAACACACATCTTCAAAATACTCATAACCAATTTCTAGAATTTCACTTGATCAAATTCTAAATCAACAATAATTCTAACACATTTGAGTCACCAAACCGAACATTAAATCCAAAAATTAATGGCTAATTTAGCCGAAAATGGGGAAAGGCAGAGCCTACCCTGATATTTTGAGAGTTTTATGTCAACTTCAAATTTAGGACTCTCTTAAATTTTTATTATTTTTTTATCGTATTCTTACTTGAACCTAGAGAGTTTTAATATAATCATGAATAATCTAATACAAATAACTAAGCTCGAAAATCTAAAGAGGAAATAACAAAATGACAAATTTCAACATATAATACAAATTTTAAGTGAAGTTTGGCTTACAAAATTATAATGTAATGGCAAATGGGTCTGTTTGTTTCTTTGGTCATTTTTTAACTGCAATTATTTAAAACAAAACTGAATATGCATTTGAGTTATTTGTGTACAAAATTGGAGAACATTGATTGCGAGAGATAGTATAATAAAATAATTAACAATGACGATCAAATACAAATGAGCTTCTAATTTTATATTAATTCATACTAAACTAACTTACAAGTAGGAAGTATGCATATGGACAAAAAATTATTAAATACAAAGTACATTCAACAAACATCTAAAAAGATTATTATCATGAGATTAAAATAAAATAATAATAATAACATCCTATAAACTCTGAAATATATGTTTGGAAGATAAAGAAGAAATTAAGAAACATGTAAGGCTGTAATAATGATAGTGAGACCAAATTAATCTATTAAATTGAATCTTCTAAATTTTTAATTAAAAGTGAGATAATTCATTTCTTGTTGGGTTGACAAAAATTATGATGAGTTACTGTTGGACGTGGAATTTGAAAAGACAAAGAGACGTTTTTGTTTGGTTAAAAAAAGAAAATGAATGTTTGGAAGATAAATGATCAAATTTTTCATAAAAAGAATAATGTTTGTGATATATTTATATGATAAATAAATGTAAGTAATAAGTTTTAAGCCATTTATATGTTTTTTTCTAAAAATATTTGTATTTTCAAATTTTTTTTT